CCTTCCGCGGCAGCCGCGCTGTGCCCCCCGCTCCCCCCTCTCTTGGCATTCCCCTGGCATCCATCTCAGCCCCCTGTATCGGGCTGCTCCCCCCGCAGCCCCCGTCTCTGGCCCTTGGCACTATGCAGAGGGGAGGTATGCTGCTAGGAGCTTGAGGGATTTGCTTCCCTCGGTCCCTCTGGTGTTCCCAGAAGGATTTTTGTCACACTTTTTAATTCCCACGTTCCCGCTTGCTCCCGTGCAGTGATTTCTTTCAGCAGTCCGGCGCTCTGAGCTGATGGGTGAACTCGGCCACCTCCTCCCGTGTCTCAGGGGGTACAGCCAGGCTGCACGGGGCTACACTCCCAGCTGCTGTTTTTCTGGCTGGACTGAGGTTGATGGGAGGGAGATGGAGAACTCTGCCCCAGTCTTCACCGAGCGCCCAGGAGAACTGCTAACCAGAGAGCCTGGGAGCACTTCTGAGGTCTGATAATGTCTAGGCTTTTTTTTTTTTTTCTTGTGAGAAAAATCAGCCTTCTAGGAGTTGAAGAAGTGTTGATCTTTTGAGCAAAATTGTAGTTACAGCAACAGTCATTTTTATGTCTCTTGCCTTCTCTTTTAATGAGACTGAAATTTACTACAGACCCTGTTGCTTTTTTCCAGGCAGCTTCCCAGGAAGCAGCAAGAGTCAGTCCATATGTCTGCGATGCCCAAGACAGCACTTGTTTTACCTCTGTTTGGTTATTTATGCCTGGTTTTAAGGGCCTCTAGTTCCTTCTTTTCTACCCCAGGGTGGAAATGAATGCTGTTAATTAATCCTGCAGGCTCACTCTCCCTCTGCTCAAGCATGTCATTGTAGTGGTTTCAAACAAATGAATCGTTCCCTCTGCCTCTCTGACGTGTTGGTGTGCTCAGTTCACAGGCTGCTTACCTACATCTTTGTCTATGAAGACCTGATCTCCTTGGCCTGCGGTGCCGTTATCATCTGGTACTTTGCCGGCAGCTTTGAGAAGAACGTTGGCACTGTGAAGCACTGCTTCCTCACCCTCGCGTTTGCCATCCTCTCCGCCCTCCTGTACCTCTTACTCGGGACCATTGTCTCAAGGGTGTCAGAGGTGGAAGATGCCAAAGGATTCATGCCAGTAGCTTTTGCTACCTTGGGTGTGTCCACCACCCGCTCGCAGATGAAGAGGACTCTGATTTTCGGGGTTAGACTTCCAGTGGTGCTGGTGCCATGGCTTATGCTCTGCATAGCATGGTTTATCCCCGGCTCTTCTCTCTTGAGTAACCTCTGTGGGCTCCTCGCTGGGGAAGCCTGTATCCTTTCCCAGTGCAAAGCTCTGAACCAGAGTGGGATTGCTGCTTTGTGAGGGGGAGGATATGCTGCGGTTCTCATTGCCGAGATGTGCTGGCTTTATGGTGTTTCCTGGGCTCTTGCAGCCCTGAGGAAAAGGGTAGGGTGCAGGTAGATGAGAAGCTCAACATGAGTGGGCACCGTGCTCTGGCAGCCCAGAAAGCCAACCGTGTCCTGGGCTGCATGCAAAGAAGTGTGGCCAGCAGGTTGAGGGAGGGGATTCTGCCCCTCTGCTCTGCTCTCGTGAGAGGCCCCCCCTGCAGTGCTGCATTCAGCTCTGGGGTCCCCAACACAAGAAGGACATGGAGCTGCTGGAGCGAGTGCAGAGGAGGCCACGAAGATGATCCGAGGGCTGGAGCACCTCTGCTATGGAGACAGGCTGAGAGAGTTGGGGCTGTTCAGCCTGGAGAAGAGAAGGCTCCGGGGAGACCTTCCAGTCCCTAAAGGGGCTACAGGAAAGGTGGAGAGGGGCTTTGGACACGGGTGTGTAGTGATAGGACACGGGGCAATGGCTTTAAACTGAAAGAGGGGAGATTTAGATCAGATCTAAGGAAGAAATTTTTTACATTGAGGGTGGCGAGGCACTGGAACAGGCTGCCCAGAGAAGCTGTGGCTGCCCCATCCCTGGAAGTGTTCAAGGCCAGGTTGGATGAGGCTTTGGGCAACCTGGTGTAGTGGAGGGTTTCCCTGCCCATGGCAGGGGGGTGAAACTGGATGATCTTTGAGGTCCCTTCCCACCCAAACCGTTCTGTGATTCTATGATTAAACTCTCACCGTCTTTGCTGGCCCTCCCGACACACAGCTCTGCATTTGTTTTTCACCTCGCGCTTCCACTTCCACTGTGGCTGTATGCGTGCAGAGAACACGGAGCTGAGAAGGTCTGTGAAGACAGCGCTGGGTAGAACTGGGAGAACGCTCCACCGAAAGCGGTTTGTGGCCGGGGGGGATTGTGCATGGCTCTGTTAGAAAGGAGCGTGTTTTGTCTGCCATTCTCCTTAATGTGCTGCCAACTTCAGATGGTCTTGGCTACTGTTTCTGCTTGGATTTTCCAGAGTCGGCGGCCACTAAGCTGGACCGGGTGTTCCCTTTCAGTCTGCTAAAGAGGATTCCAGGACTGAAATATATCCCAGGGTCCTTAGCAGAGCGAAGAGCTTTCAAAAGCAGCAAGTAAGTACAGGAGTTCCTGTGAAAAATTGGGGAACCTGGGGAGGCGTTGGATCACTTTGTTGGTATCCTGGGTGTTAAGGGGAACATGCTGCCCCAGTGATGTCACACTGATGACATTACTGTGACTGATGTGTTGTCACGCATTATCTCCATCAGGTCTTTCAGTGAAAGCTAAATTGAGGTGAAAGACCTCTCATTTGCTGCAAGGGCAGTGTGTACATGTGTGAAGGTATTGCAGCTGAGCTGACATGCCAGGTTGCAGTTCTGCCCTGACATTAGGGTTTCTGGCCTTTGTTCCGGGCTGTATTGCTCCCTCAGGTGTGATCTTTATCTTTCTTTGCCCCACCTTGCCTCCCAGGAATGCTGGGAATCGAGTCCTGTCAAATCTGTGCAGCAGAGCATTCTAAGTGAACGATGTCACTGACGAAGTTCAGTAGACCTTTCGATGCGTGTTTTCAGTGTCAAGGCAAGAGTGCTTTGCAGAAAATAAACCTTCGGGCCTGTGGCTGATGCTCAGGAATGGTTTTAAATGTATATATATTACAAGCCATGAGAACTCACTTGTATTTTAAGCTTGAAGTCCAAGTCAAATTTTTCCCTGTTCTGAGATGTCATTTCAGTTTCACAGAGGAAGGATGGTTTTCTGTTAAGGCTTAAATTCTATGTGTTGTTTAAGCCATCAGCTCACTGTAAAGCCTTCTCTGAAGTGGAAGCATTCCCAAGTGTTTGCATCTGCCCTCACCCCTGGGGAAAGCATAAAAGAAACTCTTGCCTGCAGCAGGAGTGATGCCCAGATCCATCGGGGCACTCAGCCGTGTGAGGGGTGCAGGGGAGGCCAGGCAGGTCCAGCAGCTTTGGGTTTTTGCTCCCTTCCTTCTGTGCAAGTGCTGCTTTTGGGAGGACAGGCTGTCTCGGGGCATGCTGAGCGGTGTCTGCCTCAGCCTAAGCTCTGCCCAAACCTGCTTGCTTTAGGTGAAATGACGTAAATGGGCTGTTCTGGCTCAAAGGTGTTTACATAAACATTTGATTGTCAAGCAGGGCGTGGGAAGGTGTTTCTAGGATGTTTCCATTTCTGCAGCTAAATTTGCATGTGTCTGTCTTAGAAGTTCCATATGTGCTTCTGGGGCTAAATTTTTATTATTTTAATTCTTATTCTCAAGTAAGAGCTCTTGATGGTTTGGGTTTTCTTGAGTTTTGGTTTTGTTTTTTTCTTTAATTTTCATAAGACTTAAGGCATCAACTTGCCACCGGATGGGAGACGGTTTTAGGAGGTCCAGGCTTTGGCATCATGTTTGTGTCCTCAAAGAAAACAAAAGAAAAACCAAACAAAAAACAAATCTACACCTCACATAAAAAAAAAAAAATAATCCATGTCCAAAAACCCCAGCATGAGCCAGTCTCTTAATCTTGCTGGGAATCTGGCAGTCATGGTCTTCATGAGTATGCTCAGCACGCATGTCAGTTTTGTGCGTGGGCTGAGCAGTACTCCTGAAGTCCCAGAGGCTTTGGCTTCTGGGCAGATTGCCTCTCTCTTGATCCGTTTGATGGGATGAGTCATGCCTTCTGTTGGCAAAGGCTGTTTCTAGACCTGGCTTCTGAATGATTAATGTCATTTGTGACTCTCTCCTTCCCTTTTTGTTCTTTACCATGGACTCTTCCTCACACCAAAGGCCTTTATGGGCTTCTTGATAAACACCACTTGGCAGCTGTGACATCTCCTGATTAATAACTTAGCAGATGTGTCGTTTGGTGGAAGGCAGCGAGGACGCATACAGAAGTGTTAAAGCATGTCGCAGTTCGGCTTGCACAAAGAGACTTGGGCCAAGAGCCGCGCTCGTTCCGTGGGTGTGGAATTGGTGTGGGTTGGGAGCGGGAGCTTCTCTCCAGGGAGGCCAGTAAACCCATTTTTATTCAAGTGCTGCTTATAATAAGAGCTACTCTTGTTGTAGTGAATCTCCCTGATGGATTGCAGTGACCTTTCTGAGCACTGGTCATCAGGAAAACTGCTCGCAGGGCACTTCCAGCGTTAATTAGGCAATGCCAGTTCTGAACACAGTGTGACTTGCTGTTTTCTTCCTGCCCAGGATTAACCCTGCGACAGGCACTTACCCCACCCAAAGCTATTACTGCTCTTCGCCTCCAGCTCTTCCTGCTTTCCAGATGCAGCACCCGAATGCCCAAAGCGAAGGGTTTCAACACAGCTGTGCTCCGGGATGTAGCCATGCTCTGGGACACGAGGGATCTCAGCACAGCCATGCTGCAGGATACAGCCTCACTTCTTCCCCCCACCAAGCCAGAGGTGCCTTCAGAGAGTGTCACGTGCAGGTCCTCGCTGGAGCCTCGCCTGGGCAGTGCTGCCAGCCGGGCGAGTTCTCCCCCCTGCAGCACATCTGCCCTACTGATCCTCAGACATCTGTGGGTGTGGACCCCCCAGCTGGGCTTCAGCAAGCAGCAGGATATCCAGCAGCCACAGCAGCTCCTGTTGCAGCTGAATTTTCGAGAGTCCAGGTGTACTGATCCTCCAGAAAGCAGGAGGGCTTTCATACTGGGGCAGGACCATTGTGTGATGCTCACACAGCAGTGCGTTGCTGACAGGTATCTGGGGGGACTGTTGGAAAGGGTTGGTAGCTCCAGTGTAGGCCATTCCCCTGCTCCCTGGCACAGGCTACTTCAATTATATTTCATTTGTAATTATTTTTTAATTTTTGATATTGCTGAGGGATGGGGACTGAATCACCTCTGAGTGCGTCTCATCCTTTTGGAGTCTTTTTTTCATCACTGTTTAGCAGCTGCCTTTTCCCACACTGCCACTAGAGTTACGGTGCATCAGCTCCCTGACTGAGGGTAGGAACCTAATTGTTGAATCCCTGGACTAATCTGGGGTTTAACCAGGCTGCAGCGATAAGGACGTGTCCTGTCTACACTGAGGCTCTTAGTCTCCTGTCTTATGATGTAGCCAAGACCCAGAAGAGGTTGAAACCTTAGTTTGTAGCTCAGTTTGAGTGGAAGAGGACAGATATCTGTTCGACTAGTGACTTCTCCACTGAGAGCAGGCCTTGAAGGGGGCTTGTTAAAAACCAGGGTTGGGGCAAGAGGACAGAATACCCTTTTCTGCCCCCCAAAACACAGCTTTAAAATGCTGAAGGGCTTTCTTAGCTGCAGTCTGTGCGTGCATCAGCATGTTGCCTTTGTTATCTGATCGCGCTGCACCGGCTCAGCCTGTGCTGCCAGTGTTTGTCGACAAGGCAGCCTCAGGTGCCTGCAAAGTGCTGGAAGACTCTTGAATGAGGGATTCCAATTGAAAGCCAACCGTGTCCTGGGCTGCATCAAAAGTGTGGCCAGCAGGTTGAGGGAGGGGATTCTGCCCCTCTACTCTGCTCTCCTGAGACCCCACCTGGAATACTGCGTTCAGCTCTGGAGTCCCCAGCACAGGAACAGGACATGGAGCTGTTGGAGCGGGTCCAGAGGAGGCCACGAAGATGATCTGAGAGCTGGAGCACCTCTGCTCTGGAGACAGGCTGAGAGAGTTGGGGCTGTTCAGCCTGGAGAAGAGAAGGCTCCGGGGAGACCTTACAGCCCCTTCCAGTCCCTAAAGGGGCTACAGGAAAGCTGGAGAGGGGCTTTGGACACGGGTGTGTAGTGATAGGACAAGGGGCAATGGCTTTAAACTGAAAGACAGGAGATTTCAATGGGATCTAAGGAAGAAATTTTTCACTCGGAGGGTGGCAAGGCACTGGAACAGGCTGCCTAGAGAAGCTGTGGCTGCCCCATCCCTGGCAGTGTTCAAGGCCAGGTTGGATGAGGCTTTGGGCAGCCTGGTGTAGTGGAAGGTGTCCCTGCCCATGGCAGGGGTTGGAACTGGATGATCTTTGAGGTCCCTTCCCACCCAAACTGTTCTGTGATTCTATGATTCCATTTGTGGAAGAAATGTACATCAATCCAAGGAGCTGGGAGGGACTTTAAAAGTGGCTTAGAAGAATTAACTGGAATGTAGCAATTCCACCGGGGGTGTTCACACTGCTCTGCTTTAAATGTCTCACCCACCAATATTAGCACAATCTCTCTCTGTTTTCTTCAGAGCTCATGGGAAGGTGAGTGGGAGAGGGGAGTTTTCAGCAAGGGATTCAGAGCAGGATGCAGTGCTCGGTGCCTGGGGCAGTAACAAAGGAGTTTGGTTGAGTTGGTGGGGCTTGAGCTTTATTTCTAGCTGTGTAGCTGCCCAGGAAGAATCTGCTGTCTCTGTGTCTGTAAATCAGCTAGGATCTCGGCTATTGCCCTTGACTCTTCGCTTAGAGCTTTGTTGGGCTCCAAAAAAACAAAAAAAGGGCTCCATGAAGCACAAAGTGCCGTTACTGCTGTTGGAGATGTTCTTGCAGTGCCTAACCTGTCCCCAGAAACTGCAATAGCCGCGGGCTCTTCGTGCTGCCACTGCGCCGGGGTCACGGGCAGCGATGGCAGCTGCGTGCTCCACAGCACCTTCCTGCCTCTTCCCTTTTTCCCTCTTCAGTGTCCGAAGAAGCCCTGTGCTGCTGCACAGCTGCTTCTCCAGCAGCCCCTCTGGGATGACCACCGCAGTTACACACGGCCTCGCAGGGGCTCGCTTGGGGGAAGACCCACGGGAATGCTGGGGACTTATCCTGGATGCACATTAGGAAGAAGCTCTGCCTGCAAAGGTGGGCACCCTGGACAGGGGCTTTCTGTGGGAAGATGCAGCAGTTTCGGAACCAGCCTGGAGCTGGTGGCCAGCTCCGTCTCATCCCTGATTGTTTCACTCCTCCATGGGGTCATAAATGAACTTGGCTTCACGGTCCTGTTCTAAAAGCAATCGCGTTGTTGCATGTTTGGTGTGGAGCAACAAGAGGGTAAGGTGCTTGTCTAGAACTTAAAAGCATGTTTGCAATACCAGGAAAGAAATGCTAGAGAGAACTTTGAGATGTTGATACTCTGCTCTCATTAGTGCCTTGATTTTCCTTCTTGTGAGATCTTCACCTGGAAACCTGAGAATTTTAGCACTGTTTTTTCCAGAAACGTGCAGAATGCTGATGAGGACTGATGGCAGTTGCAAATCATAGAATCATAGAATCGTTAGGGCTGGAAGGGACCTTCAAAGGTCATCTAGTCCAACCCCCCTGCAAGGAACAGGGATGTCTCCAACTAGATCAGGTTGCTCAGGGCCTCATCCAACCTGGCCTTGAACGTCTAATGTTGTATACCTCCAAATCGTAAGCTTGAAAAACAATCTGAAAGACAAACTACTATGTCTCTGGCTTTGATTCCAAGTGGGGAGCTGGAGCGTGGCCCTGCAGGTGGTGGCCGGTGCGGGGCAGGCTGCGGGCATCTGGTGGGCTCTAGCGGTGGGGCAGACTGGTGAGGAAGGATGCGCACTGGGGAAGAGCAGTACTGCGCGTTGGAAAACGCACGTGAGCCTGGAAACTGGTTATTTTTCCTTTCCAGCTCAGTATCAGTTGATCTGGTAAGAGACTTGCTCTCCTGGCAGAGCCCTCAAAGGGATGGCATGTTTCCAGTGAGCGGTTTCACGGCTTTACAGTGGGAAAGGAAGCCCTGGCCTGAAGTCACCGCAGCGTGGCTGCCGGCAGTGAGAACAGCCCCATGCCTGGCTGGCGTGGGGAACAAGCAGCAAACCTCCTTCCAGGAGGTAAGGCGGGCCCCTTGGCCCTGGCAGCGGGGGACGTGCCCACGTGCAAGGCAGCAGGTACCAGCCACTAACCTTTCCATGCTGGGACAAGGCAACTGCCACAGCCTTGCGGGTCAGCCCTGGGCATGGGACGTGGTGAGATGAGTACAAAACCATGGTTTGGGACAGGGATTCCTTCTGCTTCCAGCTCTTTTGTGAGCTTCTTGCTGACCTTGGCAGATCACTTGGTCTCTCTGATCTCTACAGCTTCCATCATGTCCCTGAAACTTCTGAGTTCAGCTGCACAACTGCCAAGGTGCCTGCCTGTCACTGGCGATGTGTTGGACCTGTGCTCAGTGGCCTTCAGGGCCTCCAGATGGATGTCTGCACAGATGAGGGCTGCTTTCTAGCGAGGTCTGTTCCCTGACTTTCCTGGGGGCAGCTGTTTCACAGTGAAACGCTGTCATGTAAATCAGCCAAGGACCTTCTGCTTCTCTGGCAGTGGAGTCCAAGCAAGTCCCAGGTCCCCAGGGCTGGTGGCAAACCGACCTCCTCACCGAGGGAAGGGAAATTGCTGAGAGGGAGGGAAGGGGTTGGGATGAGACATTTGCAAATGTGTCTGAAAGCTGAAAGGAGGAATTAAATTGGTAAGAGAGGGAGGTAAAAATCATCATCTCGTTGGGTTTTGGCATCTGTCTAAGCTCACAGCAACGTTACTGATCGCATGTTGCAATACCAGGTCGTTTCCTTGGAGGGGAGACAGAGAATCAAAGTTACTAAAGCAGGGGGAGGAAAAAGGAAAAAAAAAAAGAAAGGGGAAAAAAAAAAATCAATAAACCCCCAGTTCAGCCTGGGATGGCTGCCCCTGGAGAACATGCTGTCCCTGAGGGTTTGTTATTTTATGACTCTGGTGGGTTCCCAGTAAAGCTGCCACTTCTTTGAAGGTCAGGATTGCTGCAGCCCCGGGGTAGGGTGTGCAGCGACTCTGGAAAGCCTCTTGGGTTGCCCCTGCATGCCAGGGTGGCCACTGCAGGGTGATGAGATTTTTGGGGACGGGCGCTGGGAGCTGAGCTGGCTGTTCCCCGGTGCTCAGGGCAACGGTCCTGCCGTGGCATGGATGCTTCAGGAGAGCCCAGCTCCTTCCCCTCAGCTCTTCCACATCCACCGTGCTACAAGAGAGGAGTCAGAGGGTACACGGGGAAGCAGAACCGACCCTGAGCTACATCACCCCCCTGGCAGGGAGCAAGCGGGGTCCTGCAGCGTGGGGAGGCCAGGCAGGAGACACCGATGCCAAAAGGAGAGTGGGTCTGTGTTTCTTTGCTTTGCTGTTGCTCATTCGTTTGGTGCAAAGCAAGTGCAGATGGTTATCCTGCACCGGGACCAGGTTAGCCGTGCCAGGGCCAGGGCACTGCCAAACACACTGCCGTGGC